GCGTGCGTGCGTGCGTGCGTGCGTGCGTGCGTGCGTGCGTGCGTGCGTGCGCGCGTGTCTGTGTGATTGAAGTGTGAGTGAGTGTCGTAAGCTGGTTATCGTAAACATACGCCCGATTATAACAAGTTCATATTGTGACAAATATTCTTGTGACATATGTACTGTGCAGATGTGTGTTTCCCACGTAAATATGCGCTGGGAGTTTGTGTTCGATATATAGTTGTCAAGGTAGACGTTGTAAATGACATAAAGGATAAGGGCGATGAGATGTGACATAATCCTGAACAGAACTGGGAGTTTTATCTCCGTATGATTATTCTCATTTATTTGTAACGCATGCGTCTTTCATGCGCAAATAAAGTAGAAATTCGAATCATTCATGACTTTCATTGGCGATGTCGTCCTCATTTTAATGTGATTTTTTATTTGCCTAACCTAACGTTATCAATCTCTCCCATGCTCTTCGTTTTTTCGCTGTAACTTCTGCACAGCATCTGTTGATTGCTTGTTGTAGCAATAGAATTCAGCACACTCGGTGTATTTGCTTATTTCTTGAAATACGATCAGTGCAGCTTGGCAACTGGTGACAGTTGACAATTATCACTTTCTCAGGACTTCAGTTTAAATTTTGTGTAAGTCATGGTATTTGTAACTAAATGACTGTTTCGTTTGTCTTTAACAGCTGCAGTATAACGTGCATGTTTGAGTGTGCTCGTGTATTGTTATAAATATTACAAGGACAGGTTGTTATATTTTAAAGCGGCGTTATTAAGACAAGATTTCATCGATGAAGTTGGATTTTAGTTGTGTTGCGCCTTGGGGTCCTGCGTGTCCTGTCTCCTGCCAGCGGTTGTTCAGATATTTGCCGTGTCAGTTGTTATTCTCACGTTAATTCTATCATTTTATCAGCAAGGAAAATGTGTTCGAAATATACTCACATTTATAACATAAATTAAATATTTATTATTATTATTATTATTTATTATTTATTTTAATTTATAAAACTCAGAATTATATGTAGAAATCACTTGACGCCATAGGTATTCATTATTGTACATACTCGGTAAGGGCATGTTGATTAAGCAAGTTGTACTTTTAGGCATTTGTACGTGTAGTCGAAAGACGGTGGAGAGAAAGTAGTTCTTCTTGTCTCGTTTTACAATCTGCATCTTTCTTCACGTCGTTATGTACTATTCTGTATCTGAGTGCTTGTACACGTACAAAGAAAGGCAAAAATAACTCGGTGGTAAAATATAGCTTTGTTTGTTCATTAGTTTTATTGCGGTTATTACCTCCGCCAAGGAGGTAATGTAATCGGTCTCGTTTGTGTGTTCGTGTGTGTGTGTAGCCACTAGTGTTCGCGCGATTCATTCAGCAGCAGCTCGCCTTAGGGCGTCGAGTCAGCAGCACGCTCGCCTTAGGGCCGTCCAGGCAGCAGCAGCTCGCCTTACGGGCATCCAGTCAGCAGCAGCCAGCAGCGAGCCAGCTGTTTTACACAATACATGTTACATGCTGGCGGAGGTATGCACTTCTCGTGAGTCGCCCTCTGTCTAGTTAGTGAAGTGTAGTGTGTCTGGTGCATGTGTTGTGTGTGTGCGTGCGTGCGTGCGTGCGTGTGTGCGTGCGTGTGTGCGTGTGTGTGTGTCTACAAGTGCGTTTGTATTGGGTATAGTAAACCATTGTGAGCATTTTTGAAAGATAAACAAAGTCACGAATAAGAAAAAAAGGCGAGAGAGAGAGAGTGAGAGGGAGAAAGAAAAAAAGACAGGGAGACGAATTGTCGATTCCGTAATGCACTATGTATGTATCAATGTAAAACGACGGGATAGAGGCGAGAGACAATAGAGGCGAGAGAGGCGAGCAGGAAGGGGAAGAGGGGAGGGGGGAGAAAGAGAAATACATGNCGCGCACACACGCACAGACACACGCACACACGCACACACACACCGGTGCGCGCACACACACAGACGCACGCACGCGCGCACATACACAGACACGCACGCATGCACGCGCTCGCGCGCACACACACATGCACGCACGCACGCGGACACACACACACAGACACACCCGGACGCGCACAGGCGGGTGTGGTCGCACGTACGCGTGCGCGTGTATTGTAGGCGTAAATTCACATTTAATACCTCGGGTGGTGAAAAAGTTTGAGACGATGACTTTGAACACAAAGACTTTCTGTCAAAGTTTTTTTCACGCTTGACTGGCCATGGCACTTTATAATTATTTTCTATTATTATTCACACTAGATGGCGCTAGAACGTCAAAATGCAACATTGCATATACATACATACGTATATCGTAAGTACATACATTACATACATACAATACAGTAGCATACATACATAGCATACATACATACAATACATACATACATACATACATACATACAGTACATCAACATCTACATACATACATACACATCACACGCACACACGCAACACAGCACACATACACGCACACACGCACTGCACGGCCACGCACGTACACACACACATGACAAATATACACACATCACGCGCACACGACACACCCACACACACACACACCACACACGCACCCTCTCACAGACACACACACACACGACACACACACACACACACACAAACACCCGCCCCCCCCCCCCCCCCTCACACCCGGTGCGCGCGCACACACCACCACCACACGCGACGTCACGCGCGCACACACAGAGACAAGCACGCACGGCGCACACAGCATGCACGCACGCACGCCACACAACGCGTCCACACGCACACCCACACGGTACGCGCACACAAAGACGCACACAGCAGTACATACGCAAAACACGCACACACCACGCCACACGAGGAGAAGCCACAGACGTACACACACCACCCACACACACACACACACACACCACACACACACACACACCACACACACACACACAACACACACACAACACAGCACACACAACACACACACATTACACACACACGACAGCACACACACACACCACACACACACACACACACACACACATACACACACACACAACCACAGACAACACAACACAGCACACATCACACACACTACACACACTCACACACATAATATATAGTATTATATACGCACGCAACGCGACGCACAGATACAAACGCCGCGGCCACACGCGACGCACACACATACACACACACATAACACACAACACACACACACATCACACACACAGCAGCACACACACACACACACACACACACACCACCGGGGTGCGCGCACAGCACACAGACGCACGCACCCGCGCACGACACGACACAGACACCGCACACGACGCTACGAGACCGGCCGCACCCGCGCCGCACACACACATACACGCACGCCGGACACACACCAGCACAACACAGCGACACACACAGACACACCCGACGCGCACAGGCGGGAAGTGTGGTGCGCACGTTACGCGTGCGCGTGTGATTGTAGGCGCTAACATTCACATTTTATGCCTGGGTGGTGAAAATCGTGTGCACGTACACGTGCGTGCTGCGTGGCTGTGCCGCGCGCGTGCTGACACATCGTGCAATGCGCGTGCATGCGTATCACATGGCGTGCGATGCGTCTGCGTTTGCGTGCGTGTGCACGACAGCGTTTGCGCTGCAAGAGCGCTAGAAACTATACATGGGGGGGGTGGTATCCAACTCGCGACACGCGCTGCCATGCTGTGGGCGTCTGCGTGCGGTGCACGTACCACGTACGTGCCGTGCAGCTGGGGTACGTACACGTGCGTGCGTGCGTGCTGTACGTACACGTCCGTGCGTGCGTGCGTATCTGCGCTGTGCACGTACACTGTGCGAGCATGCGTACGGGCTGTGCCGTGCGCGGGCGTCGCGTTGTGTTGTGCACGTACACGTGCGCACATGCG